ATTTTTATGGTTGGCTATTGATACTATGTGTGTGCTGTGGTAAAAATTTTATGGTCATTGGATGCAGTATGATTGAGTTATTGATTTAACTGGTTTAATGCATGATAAATGGTTTTCAATGGCTTATAAATAATTTATATGTGCAAAAATATGAAATATGGTTCCTTTGCCCTTGCATGGTGATAATGTGGCCTTAGAAACCCTAATATGGCTATATGTTTATAGAAAATAATGATCTTTAGATTTATCTTGTTCTCACATGTTTATTAATAATTAAGATTTGTCTTTTTCATAGCAATTAAATTATAAAATTTGAGCATGTAAGATTTGTACAGTAATCATGTTTTGTCATCATCTATGTCTCATAAAAATTTGACATCCAAATGAGATGTTTGCAACATCACCTATAATTAATATATAGGTTTTTATATATAGAAAAGCTAATGAAAGTTTGTTAGTAGATACTTATGTTTATGCCATGTAATACTTCTAATAATTGGTGCTAGGTAATGTGATTGCTTGGTTATAGTTAGGACTTGCATGGAGCTACATATATAGCAACAAAATATTAGTTGTTAACAACCTAAATGGTAAATGCATATAGTTGTATCTCTGCTGTTATGGCTGCATATACAGTTTTTGTGGTGGTGATATTTTCATGATGCAAATAATGTTTTCTGTAGATATGGTGAATACAAAAGATGTAGATAATTTCCTTATATTTCTTGTCCTAAAATTTCATGATTTGAGGCCTGATGGTTTAGGAGTTATCGATTTTAGAAGTTTGCAGTTAGATTTTGCATGTCCTCTGGATAGATCTGAATGATTGTATTGTTTGGCTTATGTAAACATGGAATCATGTATTGGTGATAATAGGAGAGTTGTAGTGCTTTTCCTAAGCTTTCTAAAATGTCTTAGATCATTGTTTTTTGATGGTCTAGAACTCTAGTGATTGCTATTCAAAGTGAAATGGCTAATTCTGTTCAAATCTGGACAGAGATGCCTTCTTGATGTTGTTTAACCTTGTTAGTTGTAGAATCATCTTAAAATGATAATGAAAAAGTTATAGATAACTTAATAATATTTCCATAAAGTTAAGAATCATGTTTGCTGAATGTCTAGAACTCCAGTTATGCATTTCTGAAGTTACTATCAGTTTTCTGTCCTTAGTTATATAAGCTCTGCTTCATGATGTATTTTGACCTTGTTATTTATCGAATCAGCTTTTGGTGTTAATAACAAAGTTTTAGATAATTTCATTAGCTTTCTTGAAAGTCTTGAATCACACTTTTTGCATGCCTAGAACTCAAGATATGATTAAAACAAGTGACTATGGTGTTGCTGTTCAGAATATGTGTTTGTACCTAAATTTTTTTGCTTCACCTTGTTTTGCTTTGTGTGTTGCTAAGTGTGGCTCATGCCTTTGATGGTGTTAAGTTAATATACCTAAAACCTTGTGAAACTTGTGTCATGTTTGGTGCTACCTTCCTTGCTATCCTAGCATGATAGGTTATGGGATGTTTAATTAAGTAACGTGGAGTGCTTATATATGTTCGGTGTAACCTTGTGCTCATCTTGAATACTTTTATATGAGGCATCTCATATTGCCATTCTTCACATTCAAGCACTTGTATTGTTGCATCTCATCTAGGTACGCTAGATGCACCACGAGAAGGACGTGATGTTGGAGCCGAACCCGAAGATGGAGTTTAGTGAATCCATCCAGAAGACGGAAGGACTAAGCAAGTGCTGAGATGGAAGATGCTCGCTAAGTGAGTGTCTTCTAAGAAACACTAACCTAGTGTTGGATCCTAGGCAAGCCCCAGAGCATTCTAAGCCTCCTATGTTTTACAAATATCACTTGAATCCTTTATGTTTGATGCATTAGGTTGTAAGAGTTGATTGGAACCACTTGATGCATAGAACTACCTTGTCCAGAAATATACCTTGAACCCTATCTAGGTCTAGGATCAAATATATGCTTAGCAATGCTTAGACCGGTAGAAGTTGGGTGATTTTTATCACCTACGAGATATAGGTGGATACCAAAACACGGTTGGCTATATTTGCTATCGTGGAAATAACCATGTGTTGATAAATAAAAGAAGACCGGGCGGGATTATGATAGAGAACCAACAAGGCATGGAGGTCTTGGTGCCTATTTATCCCCGTCTGTGTCGGTTAAGGACCGATTCTCTAGACATCCTCATGTCATGTTGAACGCATGCCTAGCACTTAGTTGGTCGAATAAGTCATTCCGACCGTGAAGCCGAGTAGCTCAACTCAGGCCAGGACCCGATAAGTGAAAGTACGCACACTGGAGGAAGTAAGGATGTACGGGGAGCTAGTGGCGTGAGTCCAAGGGCAGGCTGAGCCTAAACTTCCTGGCAGACTGGTAATATCTTTGAGGGTGCGACGCTGCTCGGATCCACGACTGTACCTGAGTTGTACCAAAGGTGACCTAAGACTACCTTGGCGCAGGTATGTCTGGGTTTGTGTTAGGAATAACTCTACAGCTGATTGGAATCAATTCGAGTTATCTCTCCCGGATAGTGAGAACTTAACTGAGCAGCGGCAACGTAGCATTAATTGATGAAATTTAATGGTTATGATGAATATGGAAATGTTACACCAGCTATGGTTACTATTGCATGTTACTAAATAAGATTCCACATGTTTAGCACAGGTTAGTTGCTAATCTAGAGATGAATAGCTATAATTAACTTGGCTACCGAATTATAAAATGTATAGCTCAACTAGTGAATTTTATGCAAAATTTTATCAAGCTAGCTCCACCTATAAAGCCTTGCATACTCTTTGGTGTCACTCTATTTCTGGTTTAGGACGGGTAAGTCTAGCTGAGTATATTCGAGTACTCATGGTTTATCCTATCATGTTACAGGTGAAATTCTCGGCCTACTGAAGATGGTGGCTAACCACCGGTGGGTTCGGTGACTCTATATTTATTTCTCGTCTGTATGATTTTATCAGAGGATGTCACTTATGCTAGCAATGTATTTGGAACTTATATTAATGTAATTATTTAAAAGCTATATTGTTTTCCCTTAACCGGTTTTGAAACCCAAACTTGTACTATTATTTGTATACCCATTTGTAATATTATTTTCGCTGCAACTCTGTGTATGTGATGTGTATTTGCTTAATCATGTGATCTTGGTTATGATGTTGATTTACCGAGGTCCTTCATGACACTCGGTGGACTACCAGGTTTATATAGGTGAAAGTATGTGCGTGTCAACATATTTAACGGGGACAGCCATACTTGATCTTGTATAAATTGGGCGGTTCTGTCACAGGGCGGCCCGACAGTAAGGCTGGGCGACCCCACATGTCAGCCACTCGGGCTCCGCTTCGGTGACGTGGCTTCTAGATCCTTCTAGAGTCTTCCCACACAGGTACCATGACGGGATTCCGTATTTTCCTTTGACGATTAGGTCCTCCTTAGCGGTTTTCTGATTAAATCTTGCTGGAAACACAGTTTCACCAAAACTCACGGAATTTGTCAGTTTAAACCCCTAAGTCTACTTTAGTGATTCATTTATACCCTTATGCATGTTTAATTGATGGATAAAATATGTATGATAACTACCGTCAACACACCGCGTGTGTGTTGGTGCCTCTGCTGGCGGCTGGCGTGCGCTCACTAGCTAGCTTGTTCACCTCACCCGTTAAGCGTGTGATTGGTTCCAAGGTTGATGTGGGATGGATTGGGTTGGGTCCCTTTTTTTGCCTATTTGGTTTGGAGAATAGGTGAGTTGGGTTCATCCCCAGAGGGAATATTCCTCGTAGGTTCGGGCTTGTTCGATTCCTCCAAATTGGAGAAATCAATTGAACCCACTTCCGTGCATCCATGTGCGAGTAGAGGTAGGCTGCGCAGCAGCCAGCGGCGGGCCACGTGCAGCACCGGCGGCGGCCACGCGGGATGGTAGGCCATGCTACGGCGGTGGGCTGCACGAGCATAGAGGAGCTAAAGGCCAGTGGCTTCACTGTGCTAAGAAGCAGCGACGGCGGCCTCGAGGACGCGAAGCGGCGGCCTTGGCTGCGCGGAGGAGATGAGAGACGGTAGTCACACGGGCGTGGAGGAGCGATGTCGTCGGCTGCGCTAGCACGAAGGAGCTATGGTGAGCGGCCTTACGGCGTGAAGTAGCAGCGGTCGTGGCTACACGGTTGCAAACAAGCGGTAAACATGCGGGCACGAGTGGCGGACGTAAGGAAAAAGGACCCAAAGAATAATATATGGGACCCGCATGTCAGATGTTCAACCCATCTCAACCCAGCACTTCAACAAAAAAAGATGAACTTAACCCCTTAACCAAATAACAAATAAGAAATGTGAATAGCCTGTGGTCTAGTAGTAGGGCAGTACAGTGGGACACTACCCTTTATGGGATGCTACCCATTAGGGTTTAAACCTTGATGTCGCACCTATTTTCTGGATATTTTCTAGAAAATACAGGGTACACGCACGCGTGTGTGTTCAGTGGTACTACACGTTTCCCACGCACTGGAGGTTAGAGAGTCTTCACATCTCTTATTTACGTGCGTACGGACGCATACGCGCGTGGTCCAATCCATCATCCCTTGTGATCCCAAGGTCAGACACACGCTAAAAGTCGTTGGTGTCGGACTGCCCAACCGACAACCGTCACGACATGGCACACGTTTTCTCCACAAGCCCAAGTGCCACGATGAAACAAACGGCTGAACGAGCCAAAAGAAATGAAACTTCGCGTCGTTACCAAGCACCGCCAGTCCGGTGCACAAATACAGCAATCGAGCGGGGACAACTCGCGCCCACAGCATCTTACCCAACCCAACCCAACCCGTCAGCAAAAACCGTCGGCCCAAACGCGCCTTCCAGGCAGACCCGCTCGCGACCCTATAAAAAACCAGGACGATACCATCTCACCAACCAAAGCCCAGAGCAGAGCAAAAACTCTTACACCAACACATCCCAAGAACACCGAGAGAATCCGAAAATGAGCGTAGAGATCCTAGACGGGAGCACGGTGCGGAGCTTCGTGGAGGACGAGGGCGCCTTCAACTCCTCGGTGGACGGCCGGTTCGCGGCGCTGGACGCCGACCACGACGGCCTGCTCACCTACGCCGAGATGGCCGGGGAGCTCATGAGCCTGCGCGTGCTGGAGAAGCACTTCGGCGTGGACGACGCCGTGGTGGCGCCCGACGAGCTCGCAGGGCTGTACCGCAGCCTCTTCGCGCGGTTCGACAGGGACGGCAGCGGCAAGGTGGACATGCACGAGTTCCGGGCAGAGATGAAGGAGGTGATGCTCGCCGTGGCAAACGGGCTGGGCTTCCTCCCCGTGCAGATGGTCGTCGAGGAAGGCAGCTTCCTCAAGGTCGCCGTCGACAGGGAGCTCGGACAGCTCGCCAAAGCTGCATGAAGTTCTTCAGCGCAACAGCCAGTGCTTGCTTGGAGTTTTCAGTTCAATACTAAATTTTGATGCGTTTCGTACTATTCATTACCACCATTTTTACATTGAGTTACAGAGTATTTGTAAGACTTATCCATGTAGTAAGTGCAGCTTGTTCTATGATCACGCAAAGACTTAATACGCGCAAATATAATAATTTGTAAGAGTATTCTTTTTGTGTGTAAGAATGGCATGTTGTATGGCCTGATTTCAGTTCAGACTCAAAACAAAACTACGTGATGGCAAGAAGCAGAGTTGATTAGTACTATGATCAAATACAGTTAAATCTGGGTAGGGCTATATATTCGGAGAATAATTTGAAGTTTAATTAAAGCTGTACTCCGTAGTTCACAAAATTATACCCCGTAGCAACAGCAGAGTGTGGAAATTAACTGTACATACAGAGAGCATTTCCAATAGTTCGTTACTACTGCAGTCAGCCAGCCGCTCTGCAAGGCAGCAGAGCGCGGAGCTGCACACTTTGTTTGTTCGTCTGTCTGCCCGCTCGTCGTCGCCGGGCGGCCGGCCTTTGCGCTGTCGTCCCTTGCATTGTTCTCAGATCCTGGACGGGATGAGAGGCGTGGAATTCGACAGGTACGCCGCCGCGGCCGCCACGCCGCTGCCGAGCTTCACAGGGTACCCCACGTCCTTGAGCACCATCTCCACGCCGCTCAGGCATCCCAGCAGTTGCAGCTGTTACAGTGATTGATTAATTATTTGCCAATGTTGCAAATTGCAGTGCACAGCTAGGATAGTACGTACCTCGTTGAGGTTGCCGAGATGGCCGATCCTGAAGACCTTCCCGGCGACCTTGTTAAGGCCGAGGCCGAGGCTGAGGTTGTACCGCTTCCACGCGTGCTTGACGATCTCGGCGCTGTCGATGTATGGTGGCACGACGACGGCAGTGACGGTGTTGCTGAAACACTCCTCCTTCTGGCAGCAGTTCTTGAGCCCCCACGCCTCCACAGCGAACCTGCATTTCACATTCATGCAATGAATCAATCCGATCCATGGCCATGAGTAGAGCACCTGGTGGGCATGCAAGGAAACACCACCATACCTCGTGGCTGTTCCAAGGCGGTTGTGCCTCTTGATGACATTGTCGAGCCCTTCCTCGAAGATGAGGTCAAGTGCGGTGCGGAGTCCGTACAGGAGCTGGATAGAGGGCGTGTACGGCCAGTACGTGCCCATCTCGTAGAACCTGAGGTAGTCCTTCCAGTCAAAGAACACGCGCACGGACTTCGCCGTCTTGCTGGCCTCCAGCGCCTTGGGGCTAGCGCACACGATGCCCATCCCGGTCGGCATCGACAGCGCCTTCTGCGAGCCGGTGAGCGCGACGTCCACGCCCCACTCGTCCATGTGGAAGTCCAGCGCGCAGATGGACGACACGCCGTCCACCAGCAGCAGCGCCGGGTGCGCGTACGCGTCCAGCAGCCTGCGCACGGCCGCGAGGTCGTTGGTGACGCCCGTGGCGGTCTCGTTGTGCACGATGGCCACGGCCTTGATGGTGTGGAGGGTGTCATTGCGGAGCTTCCGCTCCAGCGCGGTGAGGTCGGCGCCGTGGCCCCAGTCGCTCTCCACCACGTCCACGTCGAAGCCCAGGCGCTGTTGCTGGTCGATCCACAGCAGGCTGAACTGCCCGATGAGGAACGAGACGATGCGGTCCCCCGGGGACAGCGTGTTGGTCAGCGCGCTCTCCCACGCGCCCGTGCCCGTCGTCGGGATCAGGAAGGGCGTGCCCGTGGTCGTCTTGAAGATCTTCTTCACGTCCTCGAGGAGGATCTTGGTGAGCGCCGGGATTGCCGGCGAGCGGTAGTCCTCGTTCTGCCGGTTCATGGCGCGGATCACCGGGTCCGGGATGTTCACGGGACCCGGCACGAACAGGTGGTTCCGCCCGGGGCCATACACGTAGTCCGCCATCGTAGCTTAGCTTGCTGCAGCACTGGTGCAGGGAGACGAGTCAGTCGGTCAGTCAAGCTCAATTCTCTTTTTTCGCGACCATCCTTAGCACGTATATATCGTTGAGAAGAAAAAGGAGTCGTTACATATGTAAACGCCGGTGGACCTACAATGGTCAAGCTCAATTCTCAAGCAGCAGCCCTCCTGACGTGTTCTTTTTTTTGGCTAATATAAAATTGCAAGCTTGCGTGGGCTTGCTAATGGGCCTGGATCGATACAGGCCGGCCCGCTATTAGCTCTACAGAAGTTGTTAGTTTTGTCTCGAACTGTTATGTAGCAATCCATGTTTTTCACCCTTCTGATTCGGATCTGAATTGTGCTTGCGTGTACAGCCTGCTAGCTACTTGTTTCCTAATTTACTTGTGCAATGGCAATGACTTAAACACTTACATAATATGCACTATAATACTTCTTTATCCAAGGCAAGCAACAGATAAGATCTTTTTCCAGTCATGTGCGAGTTTTTCAGCATAACAGTGCACTGAACTTGGCAACCAAACCTATACTTATCCTTACGCCTTGAGGATACATGTCAGTGAACCACGCAAACACTTGGCACTACATGTCTATGACAAATATTCAGATACATACAAGTTCGATCAACATATATAAGAAAAAAATAAAGACAATATTCAGAGATGTACAGGCCAGCCGCCAGCGCAACCATCTAATAAAACAACGAGAACAATTTCTCGCGTAATTCAATTCATGCTAGCTACTCCGTACGTAGACAGACCGCATCATCATCATCATGGTCGATGACAAATCCAAACGGAAACAAGATTGCAGTGGATCGGAGACGGAGACGAAGACCAAGACAAGCGCGTACCTGTGCTGCCGTCGCCTGCTCCCCTGTGCGGACAGGAGTGAGGAAGAGGAAGCTGGGGGAAGGAAGCCGAGGCGCTCACGTATGTCAAATACGGGGAGGCTGGCGGGAGGATAGGATGACAACGACGGCTATATAGGATAGGAGCCAATGGCATCCAAAGGACGGTCCTTTCGCGGGCCCCGCCGCCATCCCGCGTGGCAGATAAGCCACATCCTGGAGGGAGAGGCCCTCCGAGCCTCCTGGACTGGAGCGGAGTGGAGTTGAGTGGCTTGCGACGCTCCTCCAACTTCTGTGGACGACGAAGCGCTGCCGCCAATTCCGGCCCTAATATCCTAGCTCCCATCCAACACTCAACTGACGGCTTCAAGTGCACAGAGATACTCGTATTTTGACAGAGCTCGGCGCTTCTCGTATAAAGATTCAGTTCAGGTTCGTCAGTCCTTTTCCCCCCAAAAAAAAACGTGTGTGATGTCCAGGAATCCTGCAAAGTTCTGCGAAATGCAGTCGGCAATAGGCGAAGCTGTTGGTGCTCCCGGTGCGAGATTAACTGACATTGTAACGTATCTCGGCTCCTCCAGTGGGTGCCAATCTGCAGGCCAGAGACGCCGACGCGGCCACGTCACGCCCCCGCGCGGGAAAGGTTATCCCTTCCGCTTGGCTCCCGGTGTCCGTGGAAATCCAGCACGATTTTTTTTGCCCTTCCTTCTTCTGCGTCCCCTCCTCGTCATCTTCTTTGAATTAAATCATTAATTAAACGCTAGTGGAGAAAAGAAGCCCAAGAGAGGGACCATGGTGTTACCTGGAATGGTTGTAACCCTTGAAACTCTACTTCTACTTAATGAAACACGTGTCACGAGGACACGTTCACGAAAAAAGAGAGGGACCATGGTGAAGGCCGGACATCACATTCGGCAGCCAACAAGGATCCACATTGGCCAAGCTTTGGAGATGCAAGGTCCCCCATCCCCCGAATAAGGTCAGGGTTTTCAGGTGGAGAGTTTCCCATGATTTCGTTCGTTGCCTAGCAAACCTCCAACATATACGTATAGAGCTAATAGGGACGTGTGGTTTTGGTGGGATGGAGGACGAAACTACATATCACTCCCTCACACGGTGTACTTATGCTGTCTGCTTCTGAGATAAGCTTAGGACCTTCACGGGCATCAATCTTCCCCGGCTATGTCAAAGATCCTGGACAAGGGACTTGCTAGAGAATTCCTATTGCAAGGAGGAAGATAGAGGTGTAATACTATGCGGCATGTGGTAGTTTCGTGGCTTAGCGGAAATGATCGCCGGCATGGCAAGACACCAATCGACCTGGGAGCAGCGGTGGAAGGGGCACTGGAGGCCTTTTTTCAACTCTTTACCACCAACCAAAGTAGCATTGAATGTTTGATGAAGCCCTAGGCTAAAATGCCTGGCCTGCAACCTTGCCTGTAGCCTGCCTGGAATGTATTTGGTTGGAACCCTGAGATATTTGCGTGGGAAGCACTTGCCTGCCACCAGGCGATAGAAATCGGTCGCCTAGCTTCTCAGTCAATCTGCCTGGACATATAATAAATGTACTAATCTCTTTCCTCTGCTCAAGGCTCAAGAAAGATGTGACGGACTCAATATTTATTTAAACACAGGAACTCGCTGAACCAAACGCTGTCTGCTCTTCCATTCACACAGGCAAGATATCAGGGCTTCAACCAAACAAAGCTATGAAATCAGAGTATGCCTGACCAGGCAATTTTGCCAACCGTAACAGGCAGGTCACAGGCAACTCAAATGCCTAAGGTACAAACCAAACATGCCAGAGCGGGATTCAGCAAACTGCACGATGGACACCGCTGGAGCAAGGTACTCTGAAGATTAATCCGGATGAGGCCTTCCTGCATGAGACATGCACGGGAGCGACCGGGGCTGTGGTGCATATTAGCAGAGATGGCAATTTCCTGACGACGTCAGTTAGATGGATCAACTCGGTAGGCTAGGCGCTCAAGGATGGCATTCGGTTAATCCCGCGGGGGGCGAAGAAGCGGGCACCAGAGAACATATCGTAGTTGAGACTGATTCGCTGGAGTTAGCCTTGTTATGGAAGAACATAGGGAAAACATCGTTCAAAAGTCACTGTAATCATTGACGACGTCGATGAGCTGGTGCCGGCCTTCACTTCCATCAGAGTTCTTTGTGCTCA